GTGGTTAAGCGTCCGTGCGCAAGACTGATAGGTCCTGGGTTGAAATCTCGCGAGGGGCGGGATCGTGTATGCGCACTTCTCCGGAGTCTCACAATAGGACGACACGGCCGTCCAGTGCTTCTAGGTTTTCTATGGTGGTTTAACTTCGATTGACTCATGAACTCAACCATTGAAATTACTATCATATCTACAAAAACCCTTCTGATATAAGTTAAAAATATGCCAATTAATTAGGAAATCAGATTATGTTTACATGCTACATGTTGTTAGATTAATAAACAAAGTTACTAACAAACATTTCAGACAGATATATTGTGTATAAACAATTCAAGATGTGAAGTGAATAATGTGACCATGAATTCTTACGCCTTTATTCATTTGTTAAAGGTCTTCTGTTGATTAATTTCAAAATATGTTCGAACAATCTTTGTTTTACTTTGATAATAATAAACCAACTATTAGAACTACAATTAAATTGCAATAAATAAACGACATTATTAATATGTTATGATAATGTTTATTTGACAAAATAATTAGACTCGGTTTTAAATTAAACTTTTTGTAGGGTAAAAATCCTCATGGAGTATTCAAAGAAACAGTGGATATTTGAATGAACAATTACTTTCAATAACTTCATCATCAGTCTCTATTGTTATAAGTCTGTAATTATTATGATATTTTATAAAGGATAAAATAAGGCATATACTGATGAATTTGATAATGTTATATGTTAAAAATGATGAATGCTTGCATCTGTTACGACGCAAATACTTCAATATTATGTTATTTGTAAATTGGTGAGGTTCTTTAATTAAGGTCGGAATGATTTGGAGTAGTGTCAAGTTCTAATCAGTATAATAGTAATATAGCGAAAGTGAAGATGAAAAAAATCGTGTGAATAAAATGCTTAGTAGGAGAATTTCATCTTGTAATTGAGATAATAATGATAGTAGCAATCGTCATAATAATATTGATGTGTGAATATAATAAGTAATAAGAGAGGTGTTATCATGGTGATTACGATAAAAAAGAATTCATATGAATTAGCAGAGATGAAGGTGGAGAATAAAAGAGATATAAACACACACAAAATTGGGACGAGGGATAACAGGTTTTTAATATCTAATTTGGGTAACTGGGGATCCAGTCATAGGCCACGGTAAATATAAAGGCTGGATATGCCTTTTCTGTATACATAAGTTCGGTTTTATGGAGTTTATCTAGAGGGCTTCATCACTGTGAAGTAGCCGTAATCTAGGTCCTTGAGGCATATCATTTGAAACCTGAAATAAAACAGAGGAAACTTCCTCTACTTTAATATGAAGTTCACTGTCTACCAAATGAGAAAGAATAGTACTGTTTATCTATTTAGTAACTCCTTTTTTCAACCATGCTGGTACGCATTCACGAATATGCAAGGATAAAGCCCTCTGAATACGACCTATGCAACTAGCTCACTGGAGCAGTTGGATCGATGTACACACATGGAAGAACCATTATCGATGACCTAGTCTCAATTCTGTGGGAAGATATAAATCAGTATAAATAATAGGAATAATCATATTAACTACCACTTCAAGTGTTTAATAGATGACTGCACAATTTATGCACCGATCTAATTTGAAATTCTAAAAATTGATTGAGTTGTAAGTCAATCCATGAGAACAATACTAATTAAATCAAATATGCTCTCCATCTATGGCGGTCGAAATGACAATGTAGAAAATAAGGTGACCTATTTCAACTTTAATACTTGTCCGGCTAAACTTTCAGTAATTAAATCCAATGAGTATGTAAGAGCATGTAGATAATCATTCTTAAGACATTGGCCAAAGATAGTTTTATTCATAAACACGTATAGAAGTAGTTTCCTTTTACCTTAATATTACTGAATTTGTCATAAATTGTTTTTTTGAAGTCGATAAAGATGTATTGAGAAAAATATTTCCTGATATATATATATATACACTCTTATACTATGGTCTTTTATCAGGAATTATCACACCTAGTTTTATTGAGGTTAATAGAAATAAAGATTTCCGTGTCTTTATTTTCATTTTGATAATTTTAGGAATACTCTTAACTGTGTTTGAACTCTATTGTAAACTTCAAAAGAACATGTTTATGCTATTTGATAACGATATCAAGTTTGTTCGCTTAAAATTAAAATACATGACTCAATTATTTAAATGGTTAAATAGAATGAAACTTTGACTGGCTCACGTTAGATTTCACATGTCGCTTATGTGAAATGGATATTTGCCCATAAATTTTTTAACGCATTTGCATGTCATTGTTTGGCGTTCATTTAGTGGATGAATTCTGAATATAAAAGCATGATTTTCAATGAAGATTTTATATCAGTCTCTAACTTTCACTTTATTTGCTATGTTTCATCAAGCAGATTAGGATGCGTTATAGTAGCATATCCATAGTTGATATGTGTAGATAGCTTTTTAACTGTTGAAAGTAAAGTTGCTAAGGAAAATTTTACGCTTATATGTGTTAATGGTACAGTCAATGAACGGGAAAAGTTTCGAAAATGTTATATATTGCACTTTTATTAAGCATTGAGAAAAAATCGGTATTCTTACACACCTATATCAATCATTCATTTGAAAAAATGGACAATGTTCGAAAATGGACGGGTTTAAAATAAATATTTTGCTGATATTTATATTTTCGTTAGACATTTTTGATTTTAATTTAAGTTAGATTTTACTCCTCATAATCTATACATCTACACGTTAATAAATTATTATGAATTTATTGTTATATCCTGAGCTTATACGAATATCGCAAATACGATTTACCAATTTAGATACGTTGACTCACACGATCAAACTAATGAATCACACACCAGTATGCCGATTGGTACCTTTTCCGCTAGCTCTGTCTGTTAAATCCAGGATGCCAATCTCAGCCTCCGCGATACGAATCGTATGTTTCTAACATTCCGGATTAACATACAAACAAATCAGACCACATTACATCATAAAATAGAAAATAACATTCGTACAAGATCAAGCCAAAAATGACTGTGATTGTGAGAAACTGTGACTAACAGATTGAGAATAACAGTATAACAGTAACCAATGGATCAAATAAACGGTTATAATGAAAGGAATATGAATATTCATATGATGTAGTTACTTATAGTCATACAATAAGAATATTCGTATATTATAGTCCATCAATAATTGCTAGAGGTTACTATTCATTTATCCTCGTCCGAATATAACAAATGCAATATCAGTAAAATCCACCTTTGGTATTTTCATTTAGCAAACAAATGCTCATGATGAAGTTATACATATTCAGTTTGGCTAAGATAAACTTTGATCATACAATCAGTAGACAGTTTACCTTGACTTTTTTCTTCATTTTCCAAGTTGATATCACTTCCTTAATTTGAATAAATTTTAGCAAAATCCACTTTTATTAACAAATTTTTATTGTAGGTAGTTAAAATTTTCTTTTTTTCATAATCTGTAGCAGTCGACTAAACATTTTTCATCTTGCCGCAGTAAACTTTGAGTATAACTTCTTAAATAAGGCGGCAATCAAATAAAGCATAGATTATTTCTGTGGTTCTTGAAAATACCAAAATATACATAATTGTCTAGAAACTTATATCTGATTGGAAACGGCAATTTATTTGTCCTTTTGATATATTGCTTAGAGAAAAAGGTCAGTTATATATATATATATATATATATATATTAGCAATGTACCAGCTTAATTGCTTTATGAAAGTTATTGGTTTACTGCCGCTCATATAAGATTGGTAAAGTCTAATTTCATAGTGAAATATTTGTAGGTGGTATTCCTTAGGATATTGATCTTAGCTGTAGTAGCATTGAAACTAGGAAGAACTAAACAGCCGTTTCATCTATGACCAACTTATATATCAAACTCAGAACCTTCGGTGGTTTTAAAGAATCATTAACCTCTGAAACCACCAGGTTACTGTAAGATTGTGCATAACACCAACAACAAGAAACAGCAATGCAACTATATGTTCATTTAACCATTTCACTCTAGACATGTCTGCACCCCACTGACCACATTTCCTCCAAGAATGTTGAGAAATCATTCTGAAGTAATTCACTGGTAGGAACATTATTACAGTCCGGATGAAGTGGTAAGTGGGGATTTTTTTATTCTGCAGGTAGTGTTAGCGTCATAGTACAAGGAAATAACTGTCTTTTGCTCATTGATCTGTGGTGGTACCGAAACTGAAATCAGTCACTAAATAATGTCACTTGTGAAACAACAATCAACAAATCCACTACATTATAAGGTAAGTGTTAAATAAAATGGATTCAGATTCATACAAACCCATATATATATATATATATATATATATATATATATAATATATATATATATATAGTTAACCACTGATGTAAATTTATTAACTACTGGAATATCTAAACTCTGAATAAGGAAAACCACATTTATAGGTGTTAATGAATAATTGAATCAAATGAATTCCTTACATAAAAATTTATGGATATATTTTGTTTTACTATTTACTGAAGTGAATATTACAAGAATAAACAAATGTATTTGCATATATCTAATGATCATAAGACAGAATTGAACATCGACTATCACAAAATTAATCACTTGATGTTAGAGTTCTTCCTGTTTCATATCCGTTTATGTATTCATATACCTTCTATATCCATATTTTTTAATGCATTATATAACTAATTTTAGTAAGTCTTTGATGTTTAGGCCTGTAATTGAACATCAACTCTGGGATGTAGGTAAATCCAGCTGTCAAGTCTAAAATAGGACGAAATGTGTGTCCCAGATTTCACTACTAGCCACCATCCATCTGTGATTCTAAAGTTTGAGACTTAAGGCAATATCAAGGCAATCCGTACAGTATGTACATATACCAATAAGAGATTAATCATTTGCAGTCCTAAACATCAATGGGAACATTTAAACAACCATTACAAAAATGAATTAAATAAAATGTTATTTACTTGCAAATTAGTTATGAAACGAACTGCTCATATTCTTCAAAACAACATAATGTGTTTGCATAAATGATTATATTATATCACTTTAATTTATTCAATAAATACAACCGGGTTTCTTACATTTGAAAATATATTTATTTATCAAATATTTGTTTCAGGTAAATGTTTAGTTGTATTACAATAATACACTTATGATAGTAAATGCATCTCACTCTGGGAATAATAATGATATAGTTCATGATATAGTTCATATATTGGTCAACTTTATTCAATGTAATGAGATCAATAATTTTCAAGGTCTGAAACCAATTCAATAGCATCTTTCACCTAAAATAACTGAGGCATATCATGTATATTGGTCTTGTTTTTTTATTAAGCTGACATTACTTATGATTTTTTGGTCCATTGGTTTATATTTTCCATTATTATTGTTATTATTATCCCGTATTTCATTCTTTTGTTTTCTTTTATGACAATTCATTTTCCAATGACATAAATGATTTAAACTACGAATAATTGTTTGACGAAATGTTGTACAAGAAATACAATAACCGAAGAAATTAATTGCATTATTTGTAAATATTAACATAACTAAACCATATTTAATTTGATCATGAGTATGTTTTGGCATATTGTGAAAATAATTGAAATAAGATGACAGAAAAGTAAAAATTGTGCCTGGTAATGTACAAGTAACATGAATTATAGTTAATGCTGTTAATAATTTGATGACACCTTCTGGTCGACGAGTTGAACGTTTACATCGTGTATCTCCATGTTGTAGTTGATTTGTTGATTCTGGTTGATTAATTGATTTTCGATCTAATTTACGTTGTAGTTTACTTGAATGTGTACTATTAGATATAATGTTTGTATTAGTTGTATTACTAACCATAGATGTAGTATTGGCATGACATCTCATCAACCGACGTTGATTACGCAATTTTATATAAATAATTACATTACTTGTAAATAATATTAAATAAGGAAGAACTGCAAAACTTATAAGATCGAACTTCATAAAAATTCTAAAAATAAATTCATATTCTGATACAAATGTACATTTAAATGATTCTTTTTTAGTTGAATTTTCTATAAACATTTTATGTGTATTAATGGTCCCACTCGTTCTGGTTTGATTGATTTTATACAAATTTATTGAATCTATTTGAGATTGTTGTAATTTATGTTCACCCATCATCCAAAAGTGTGGTGAATTTTTTATAGCTACACTTAAAGCAAAACATATCATACCAATTATCACAGAATTTAATGTTACTAATTTAGATGCTTTATAAGGTAGGGTAACAACAAGTAACCGTTCGACTGCAACAGCACATAATACACCAACAGCAAAATCTGTTGAAAATCCTACAGCAAAAACATGAATTTTACAAGTTAATGGACCAGTTGAACGTAAATCCCATCCACAAACTTCCATTAACCAATAACGTAATACAGCAGTTAATAAGACTAAATTATCGGCTATAGCTAGAATAATAATAATTAAACGAGTTGTCAAACGATTTGACCGATCACCTCCCATTATAATAGCGCTAATAATATTACCAGGTAGACCAAATAATAATAGTAAACTTGCATAAACTTTTATAATCAATTTGCCTATATCTGGAGAATAGTTAGATTCCATTATAAAATATATTTTAATTAAACATAGACATTTTAATGTACATAGGTCATATTACTTTTCACAGTACAATATTAAATATATATGTAGTTCATTGTAACAAAAAGTCGTAATACAATTGAAACCATTTAGTCTCATATTATAGATTATTTGTCAAAATAGATAGGATACATTATGTGAATTGTAATTATTGTATAACCATTTATTTCCTATTAAGTATTATTTTTTTCTTATTTATTTCACATTTATTCACTAACCAATAAGTGAATGGATAAATACAAAGTAATTTTTTATTGGATAACATTTGTAACCAATCATTTCAAAATGTAGATCGGAGAGTTTGGCGCAATTCATTTTATGTTTATTTTAATATCTAATTATTATTACTGTATAATCAATATACATAGTTATTGTTATTTTTTTTGTTGTTAACTTTTTATAATGATTTTGGTTGATTTCTTTCCACCATGGATTTCTTATATGATCAATATAAATGTAATTATCAGAAGGGGTTTGTGGAGATTTTAGAAATTTCACAGATTGGAATCATGAGTCAATTGAAGCTAGACCACCATGGAAAACCTGGCGCGAGACTGACAGGTCCTGGATTCGAATCTCGTGGGGTGCGGGATCGTGGATGCGAACTACTGAGGAGTCCCATACTAGGGTGAAACGGCCTTCCAGTGCTTTCAGGTTTTCCAAGGTGGTCTAGCTTTAATTGACTCATGATTTCAATTTGATAAGTGTCATTCGTTGAAACAGATATTCACTGTATAACATTTTAAATTATGTAAGCTGTTTCATAATGGGAACGTAAATACACGTTTAGATGATAATCTATAGTATATGGTTTTAAAATATTATTGTTCCTATTGATGTGAACATGGTATTGAAATAAATAGGAAAGTATGTTAATGCATTCAATTAATTTGATTGCATGATGAGCCAGTATTCAATGGTTTACTAGTTTAACTTTAGACAATGAGTTCAACTTGGGTCTACTAGTGACCTCAACAGAATTCAATATCATCTACAATCTTCCATACTAACAACCATCATGTGTTCAGTAATGATTAACTTCAAGAGCACATTCTCAGGATTCTACCGAGCAAAGTCCAGTGGTGTTGGTTGTGAAGCAGATATCCACTGAATACAATAGAAAAATTGTTTTACATTATTTCCAGGTTGACTAAAGTTAAGTATATAAATCATCAATAAATCTCAGTAGTTTAAAGATTAGGCTCTCACAATGATACATGAAACTTCTTTATTCAATCCTCAGTGAGGTCATGAATAATCATTACTAAGGAGTACTTTATTATGAAAACAAAAACAAGCTATACAATGGTTTGTAATTTTCAATGAATAATCTAGCTTATGTCAGTTCGTGATTTCGTTACTAAAACTGAATGGTGGTTTGAATTTTTCCAAACAAAATAAAGAAAGAATTTTATTTGTTCTAGTTATATGTTAGGAAGATTAATATATCATATCACGGAGATCTTTGCGTTGCATAAGTCAGCAAAGTTTAATGATTTTCAAAACCCATACTTTTCTCTAAAGAATTTATTCGTTTAGTTTCGACCACTATTATTCCTATATCTAATATATCCTGTTTCCGTAGTATGACGTTCGACTACTAAAAAAAATTCTCAGAAGGATTTTCAGTAATTATAGTGTTGTTTTTTCGTTTAACTAAAAAAACGTTTTCTATTCAACTCAACCACATAAGTATGTAGAAAAATCATTAACCATTTCGCACTCATTTATGATCAGTATATGTTTCATTTTTATATAAATAAAACTACTCAATATTATATTAATAGTTAATTTAGGTTGGGAATCATCATCAATAAACAAGGAGGATCGGATGCAAACGTAAAGGCGAGGATTGACAAAGCAAGGGTCGCATTCCTACAATTGAAGAACATATGGAACTCAAAACAACTTTCAACCAATATTAAAGTGAGAATCTTCAATACGAACATCAAGGGAATTCTACTGTACGGAGCTAGAACGTGGAGAACTACTAAAACCGTCATATAGAAGGTACAAGTATTTATAAAGAGTTGTTTACGTAAGATTTTCAATGTTCGTTGGCCGGATACCATCAGCATAGGAGAGAGGATAAACCAGAGAGGACAAAGCAGCTTACAACTGAAGAGGAAATTATGGACACACGCTTTAAGTGGATAGAACATACCTTGAGGAAACCGTCAAACTACATCACGAGGCAAGCGCTTACTTGGAATCCTGATGGGAAACGGAAAAGAGAAAGGCCGAAGAACACACCTGTTGGGATATGACTGTGAAAATGCTGCTGATTAAGGGGTAGCGAATTATTGATCGGACCAAAGACGCGCAAACACGTAGAACGGCCTAGGGTTCTGATTGACCCTGCTTCCCTGTCTAGCCCAGCCGGTTGAGTCCAGAACACAAGTCTCAGCCTCGGATATATGAATCATTTTATTTAAAACACACTCTGTTTATATACTAATCAAGCAGACCACATCGTACCATAAAATAGAAAATAACATTGTACAATATTGACTAGTAGGAAAATGACACGTGAAATAAGCACTGACCAATAAGAGAATAATACCATCTCCAAGTCCAAGAATAGCATTAGACTTAATAGAATAATTTTTGGGATATTTTCCTGAATATCCCAACAACACCACGTTGGGAAATGGAAGCAGGTATGAAAACGATAAATAGTAACTGGAGACAACTAGGAAGGATTTCCAAGGACAGGGTTAGATGCAGTGTGCTATTGGGTCTGAGGCGTAAGTAAGTAAATATGATCTATTTCATCTTATATTAGGCCACATTTTGTTTGAATTCACTTAATAGAAAGAAAGAAATAATTTCACGTTCATGACTGTAATAGGAAAAAGGAAGTAAGAACAAAGAAGGAATAAATAGAATTGAGAAAAATTCTAATAAGTTTTCCGTTAGACGCATGAGACAAAATAATACATAAATAAAACGCTAAATCAGTAAACTCTCCGTTTATTATTCTAGGCTATGTCATCGATTTCTTAAATGTTCATGCTATTATCTCTCATCGTTATATAGAAAAGATACTGATTAATATTACTTTACCTTCTATAACATTAAAATATATCAGTGACATTCACTACAATCAGTGGTACAGTTTAAAAATGTCTAAGATTTAAAGTAATCAAACATTACAGGTCTTACTGTGTTTTCTTCTCAACAAAGTAGTATGTTGACATACAAGTTCGCTAACATGCCAAATGCATTAGGAGTTAATAATCGATAAATATTTTGCCCAAAATCATGAAGATACTTGTTATTAATTCTATTGGCTTATATTTTATTGTTTCGGATCATTTTTTATAAATCTCTATTGGGAACAGAACCAATACTTTGGGATTAATTATACATGCAAGTTCATTATGTTTTAGATAATGCATCGGAGATTTCAATGGTTAAGATCATGAGTCAGTTGAAGCTAGACCACCATGGAAAACCTGGAAGTACTGGACGGCCGTTTGGTTCTATTGTGGGACTCCTCAGCGAGGTCGTGGATGCGCGCTGCTGAGGAGTCTCACAATAGGACGAAACGGCCCGTCCAGTGCTTTCAGGTTTTCCATGGTGGTCTAGCTTCAACTGACTCATGATCTTAACCATTGAAATTACTATTATATCCACAAAACCCATCTGATATATGAGATTTGTTAATAATGTATATTCAAACCACAATATTGTTATTTTTATTAAAAGTCATAAAGGAAGGCCAGTCTTTTAACTATCAAGATAATTTCACAGGTTGAAATCATGAGTCGATTGAGGCTAGACCACCATGGAAAACCTGGAAGCACTGGACGGCCGTTTCGTCCTAGTATGGGACTCCTCAGCAGTGTGCATCCACGATCCCGCATCACGCGGGGCTCGAGCCCAGGACTTACTGGCTTCGCGCGCGAGCACTTAACCACTAGACCACCGAGCCGGCATCCAACCGTGTTAATGTCTAACTTCAACCAATTCACGAAGTTGCGCCACCGTACACCATTTTCTTCAGTGAGTTACTATCTCACAACAGACCTGGTTGAACTCCACTGGTGACGGCTTCTACTAGGACGAAACGGCCGTCCAGTGCTTCCAGGTTTTCCATGGTGGTCTAGCTTCAATCGACTCATGATTTCAACCTGTGAAATTTCTAAAACTCTCCACAAAACCCATTCTGATATCAAGATAATTATTCATGATTACTCTCCATTAATTTAGTTGTAAGATATATATATATCTTATTGAGAAGAGATTATTTTATATAATAATAATGACTGAATCTAACCGTTATTTTTAAATTAAGAAACGTTAGTGGAATTGAGTTACACACAACTGACGAGCGAAAGATTATACAAAAATGTTTGTCATTTTACTGTTACTCACTATCTACAAAACAAAAATGTAAACGCAAATATTAATTTGAATGGATTTAAAATTGATTGTTTATGATACTAGGCCACGAATGAATTCATTAATATGTTATGACAGTTCGATTCACTTTACTTACGGAGTCTCTAGTTCAATCCGTCACAGTGTCTAACAGAAAGTTCATCAGAGCTCATATATTAAACCTTAAAACCTTTTTGCCGGTGTTACGCTTCGGCTTAGGTAAATGTTTAAATAGCAAAACATCACATTAAACTACGTATAATGGAAAGGAAATGTTAGGAAATAAAAATAACACGTAACTTCCTGTAAACATCATATTTTAATTTTCTTTTAAAAAAGATTAATTTAGAGAGTACTACCTATATGTTGAGTAATGAACTGTCAAAATAATTTGGAAGCAGCTCATACATTTATCGGGATTTATAGCACCATCCACAGCTACTACATTACCATTCAGAATTACCCTAGGCTTTTAACAATTAATTTATAAAACTTTACTAAATCTTTAACATTTACATACATACATTCATTTGAACTGATGAAAGTGTGAAATTTTCAACAACAAAAAAAGAAAAAAAGGGAGGGAAAAGGTTTATTAACTACAGATTGTTTTCTCGAAAGGTATTTAATCAGTAGAAAATTAGTTTTAAATAACAACTAATATAATCGGAATATTTAGATTTGAAACTTATAGCCTGTAATGATTATTTAAAAATATGGTAACAAAATAACCCTGATGAGTTT